TTGATCAAATCCCCCCCCTTTGCCCGCCCCCCCCCCCCCTCGGGGTTAACATTGATAGGTGCATAAGGTTTCCCTTTTTATATCAATTTTTAAAAAAGTAGGGTTAGGTTGGGGTTTAGGATAGGGTTAGGTTAGGGTTAGCATTATTTAGGGTTTAGTTTTGCGTTAAGATAGTTTTTTTTACGTTAACAAAACGGAAACCTTATTTTGAAGTATACTATCTAGCGATCACCATGTCGCATTACGCATGTTGGCCGCCATTTTCCTAGCCAGTCAATGACATTTTCTGGCCAATAAACACGCTGTACTGGCTGGCTGTTCCGCCTTCTGGCCAGTAAACTGCATATTTTTGCATAAAAAAACGAGGACACGTTGCACCGCTGAGTGGCCCTTCTGTTACTGATCTTTATTCTGTGCAGCAGGTTGACTACGGCAATTCATAAAACTAGAATAGTGAAGCGAATAGTACGAATAGTCGACGAATAGACCGAATAGTCCACGAATATGCGACGAATAGTACGAATAGTGCAATATAGAGACTTTGCAAGGCTTTTCACCAGTGCTGTAGAACTAAATTTACCGGAGGGGGGGGGCTCTATTGACAAACATGAAATCGTGAAAACATTCGTTGACGTACGTCATGACGTCATGCGTAACAAGTAAAAATTACGGGAACCACTGAGTATTTTAATAAAATATAAAACAACGGTAACTTTGAAAATGGGACATTTTAATATTCTAGATTTCGACTAAAATTCAGTCATCGTCAGGAAACATATTTCATATTTTTTTTTAATTTATCATCATTCCTGATGGTAACCATACGCAGTCAAGAATTTTACCGATGGAATTTTATAGGAATTTTACTTGTAAGTTGGGACATAAGTGATTTCGTGTGCTTGGAAAACGTGATTTACATCACGAAACAAGAGAAGGTATTGAAGCGAAAACCAAATTTCGGCAATGTGATTGGTCAGCGAAAAAATTCGCCGCGAAAAAGTTGGATCAGTTCCTACTCGCCCAGTTGAAAACGTCATTCTAGTGAGTGTCATTCTACTTTCTGTTAAATATTTGTTAAAACTCAGTGGTTCCCGTAATTTTTACCGGTTACGTATGACGTCATTGACTCAACGAATGTTTTCAATATTTAATGTTTGTCAATAGAGCCCACACCCTCCCCCCCCCGGTAAATTTAGTTCTACAGCACGGTGCAAAGCCTTGCAAAGTCTCTATTGCACTATATTCGTCGAGTATTCGCGGACTATTCGTCAACTATTCGCGGACTATTCGTCGGCTATTCGCTTCACTATTCTAGTTTTATCAATTACCGGTTGACTACAGCAATCACAGTACTTTATACTCAAACATAAACTTTAGCGAAGTCACGAAAGTTTTGAAGAGATCGAAGACGAGTGAAAATTATGTTGCGTTTACAATTATCAACACCGGCGTTGAAGTCGATTTGAAATAATTCACTCATTGATAGTCAGTAGTTCGCCTCATTACTATTCAGTACACGTCAACACGTACAATCTACGCATGCTCAGATAGGATGGGTTAATTGACTCACTTTGGGGCTGACAGTATTGTAATCACTTCTTGGGGAGGGGGGGGGGGGTGTCAATTTGTGACCGTAATATCATGTAGATTACGTATGAAGACATGAAGCGGCATGAAAATATTCATGAAAACAGCGAAGTTAGATATATTTTATATACTAGACCTGGAACAAAGTGAGACCTCGGGTCTTGAATCCTCAGGAACATTTCCCTCAACAGGAAGTTTAAAGATCATTTCAATTTTTCACACATACGTTAAGGAAGAATTTCAAGGAATCATTATAACATACCTTCTTATCTTCATTTGAAACATATATAACATAAATACCGACAAGTTTTAAAGGAATACCGTCGGCCCATTTCCACTCAAGAAAAATTTCCACGGACAGAAAATTTTCCGAAAATATAATTGTTAAAAGTTGAAAATTTTCAACTTCAAAATTATTTTCCGACGGAAAATTTCTGTCGGCAAATTTTCTTTCCATTTTACAAAATTTTCTTTCTGCGGAAAATTTTCCTGAGTGGAAATGGGCCTTAATACCGAATGGTTTTCCGTGCAGGATTGCGTGATCCATGCACGAGGGATGACGTGAGACTTTCGGAAAGCGTAAAAATACTCGAGCCGCAGGCGAGTGTATTTTTACGCTTTCCGAAAGTTGAGCAACATCCCAAGTGCATGGATCATGCTATCCTGCTTGGAAAACCATTTGGTAATTGTTTTATAAAATAGCTACAGTGGAACAATGACATTTTGAGAATCCCGCGAAAATATTTTAATTCCTATAGGTTTGTTTTATACGCATCACGTTGCATTACTTTGCACGGGTACAGCCCTGCAGAAACTTAATAAGACCCGGGTCAAACAAAGATGAGAGTTGGTAAAAGTTGTAAGTCTCGTTTACATATAGTCATATACACGGGTTTTCTGGGGGTGCAGAGAGTGCGCAAATCCAAAACATTTTGCTCCCCCTCAGAAAGCTTTCCCAACCTACCTAGAGAATTTTGCAACCCCCCACTGCTCATTGGCTTAAATAATAGTAGTATGATTTAAATAAGGATTTTAAACTAAATACGACCAAAAATCTTTCCTGGGGGCTACCAACAATCATGTCCTCACTAGAGACAATACTCCCAAACCCCATTTTCATACCCAGAGCCCTTCTTACGCGCGGTCAGCGACGAGGGGCTCTGGCAAAATCCAAACCGGATACCATAAAAACATGGTATCCGGTTAAACAATGCGCATGCTCAATAAGAGTTGAGCATACGCAGTGTTTAACCGGATATCATGTTTTTATGGTATCCGGTTTGGATATTCCCAGAGCTCCTCGTCGCTGACCGCGCGTAAGAAGAGCTCTGGATACGAGAATGTCCCAAACTCCTGCTGCAAATCGCTCAGGCGGCGCGTAGCCTCGCTCACCCCCCCGTCCAAATTCTCGACACCCCCATAGCCAAATCTGAGAATTCGTTGCAACTCGTCTTCCCATTTTACCGGGCCATGCCTATACTCCTTATGCTTATATTACCGGGCCATGCCTATACTCCTTATGCTTATATTACCAGGCCATACATATACTCCTTATGCAAATATTACTCGATATACTGTACATACGTATTGATAACCGTTATACGAGGACAGGTTATTTTGGACAGGAGGGCAAGGCTATTTCCAGGATTAAGGTTCTGTACCCAAGAGTAAATTTCTAAAATATCCCAAAAATAATGGTCGTATTTATTATACTAGAACACGTGTTAGGTATCTGGACGAATTAAACGTTTTGTGCTAAGCAGTGGCGTAACTCCTTTAGGCGCTTGGCTCAAAAAATGGCGAAACTGATGAAGTTCAGGAAATTTTGCATGTTCTTGACGTAGCCCCCGCCCACACTCGCTACTTTAAACGGGTAGGCCTTTACCACAAGTTACGCCACTGGTGCTACGTGCGAATAATATACTATACGAGCTGAACTGTTGACCATATCACCAAGAACGTAATCGCAAAAATACGGTATAGAATATTTGGATTTGGGACATTCGTCTGAGTGGCTCTTTCTTAAGTGCGTCTAAATTTGCTCGTCACGTATTTATAGTAGACGGTTAAACGTCTAAGACGATAAAGATTTGTTAAATACGTCATTTAGACGCATCTGACAGACAACGTTAATTTTTACGAAGTGACCAGATAGCCATGCAGCGAATATTTATTTTTCCAGCTGATATTTATTTTGTAATAATGTAAATTTTTTTGCAGTTGCATTCTGCGATGTTTTTCAATCTCTGCACGTAAATGCTCATTTTTAGTGGTAAATAACCAACAAGTACCTAAAAGCTGAATGCAAGTATATAAGATCTGATACAACTGCAGTGCGTATATTATTCCGTTTTCTTTCCAAATCCCTCATAAATCCAGAAAAAAACAAAAGTTTGCCGACGTTTCTCCGCGGTTGGTTACCCGAACTTGTTTTTCACTCTTCAGGTAACTTTGGTTTTTATGACGCATGGTGTCTCTAAAATGTACTTATTCTGAATAACCACTTGCTCTAGTTTCTCAGGGATATAGTAGAGCCTGAGCTAACAAACAGCAGACTACAAAAATATTAAACTTTTACATGAAATGATGTCTGAATCTATAGGGAATGATTTTTTCTGTGTTTTTTTTTTAACTCTCAATCGCTTATCAGATTTACCAGTCTGGGTTAACTATAGGTAAGGGTTTGGGTTCTGTCGATTCCATAAAAAGTAGATTTTAACTAGCCATTATACTGCCTGCAGTTTAGCCGCGTGAATAGCCGACTGCTGGCTGTCTAGTCGCTTCGTAATTTTCATTCTTCCGTCGAACTTTACGTATTTACATTACATACAGTAAGTAATTCGTCTCAGACGTTTAAGACGTCTTCAGATATAAATACAGCCAATGGTTCTTTCGAGGATCGTTACTTTCAGAATTCTGTGGTACTCTTTACAATGTACAGAAAGAAAACTACCCCCTCCCCTCGAATTTCTTCTTTCTTATACTATATATACTGTACATTCATGCTGGGTATCATGCCGTTGATGTTTACAT